CATGTCTTGTTGCTACAGCAAGACACCCGGCAATTGAAGGAAGACAGGTTTATTCTGGCTCTCGGTGTGAGGGTCTAGTCTTTTACGGTGGGAAAGCCATAGCCACAGCAGCTTGATGCGGCTGGTCACATTGTACTCACAGTCCGGAAGCAGCAAGCATGCATCCCGGTGTGCGGCATGCTCTCTCCTTTTTATTCAGCCCCCGCCCATGGAATGATGCTTCTCACACCCCAACCTCCCCACCACAATCTAACCTAACCCCTCGTAGAGAGCCTCAGAGACTGGTTTCCAAGGGGATTCCAAATCCCACCAAATTGACAAAATTAGACATCATACCTGCATGGCAAGATTCAGGGCTAGCCTGGAATGTGTGAGACCATCTCAAAAATAAAAACAAAATCTTTATGTATAGTAAAGCTTGATCTTTTTGAGCCTATTAAAAAGTATTATGTATGTTATACAGTGAGAACAAGGCCCAAATTTCTAAAGAAAGAACTTCAAGCATGCGTATAAATAACATTTCCATTCTGTGAGCTCCTGGTATGGATTTTCATTCTTATTAAGAACTGGAAAGACCCTCCAATTCCCTAAACTGGCAAAACTGGGGAGAGGGGCAAGTATGATTGGGGTTCATGATGTGAAATTCTTAAATAATCTATAAAACTATATATATTTTTTTTAAAGGACTGGCAAAACCCAAGGCCAGAGCGACAGCTACAGTGGGCTCTTGGGCCTGTTCAGTGTGTGTCATTCTGTTCAGTGTGTGTCATTCTGTTCAGTGTGTGTCATTCTGTTCAGTGTGTGTCATTCTGTTCAGTGTGTGTCATTCTGTTCAGTGTGTGTCATTCTGTTCAGTGTGTGTCATTCTGTTCAGTGTGTGTCATTCTGTTCAGTGTGTGTCATTCTGGGCCGAATTCCCTGATTTCCCACTTTGTGCTGTGATGTACAGGCATTTTGAGCTGTCTTTCAGGGAAGTGAAAGGGATTCTTCCAGAGAGAGAGAGAGAGAGAGAGAGAGAGAGAGAGAGAGAGAGAACTTATTATGACCCACCCAAGGTCACACAAGTAGTAAGGAACTGAACACTTTCTGCACTTTCTGATTCATACACCTTAAATTCCCTTCACTAATCTGCTGCTTAGCTTCCCAGGTAGGAGACAGCCTGAAAGAGCCAGGCCGTGGGTAGGTGGGAATTCTCTTTAAAACTGAAAAACCCAGCAAAGGAAACGGCCGCTTTGGCGTTGCTGGAGGTCCGTGCAGTCGGCTAAGTCGTCTCTCACCTGCGTCAGTTGCTATTTTAATCGACTTCTTCCTTCTCCTGCGTGTTTAAATGTCTAGCTTCGGGGGGGAAAAGCGTCTGATTAGCAAAGGGTGAGCGAACAGGCTCCACGTCCATCTGTCTGGGTTTTAATAGCCAAGGCACAAAGTACACAACGAACGGTTGCCTGCCAAGAGGAAACTGTTGAGTCAGGCTGGTGTGCAACGCCGCTGTCTGTCTTTGTCGGCTTCTTGGCAGCTTTATGAGGATGACAACCTACTTCCGCCTCCCTTGATCGAGAAAACTGAAGATTATAAAGATGTGACACTTTTCAAAAATATGATCTCTTCCTATAGATATAAACCAAATTTGAAAATCATGATGCTTCAATGAGATATACAAGGTTAAGGGAGGTAAGTCATATTTTACATTATAAAACCCAAAATTAAGTAACTTTAGACACAAACAATTTTTGGCAGTACCGAGTGAACAACACAGAATGTTACAGAGCTTTTTAAATGGCTTCCTTTATACCCAGGAGTCTCAGGGAAAATGAGCATTTGTCGCAGAAGAGCGGCGGGGATGATGGCAGATGATACAGTCCCACCCTTTGTACTCTTTAAGAGCCAGTGAGCTTCTTCTTGACAGCTTGAGCACTTGGCCTCAATGCCGCGTGACTGATTGAGAATTAATATGTGTATTAAACGATATATTATCGACCTGCTTTCATTTAAAAAAGGACATGTACTCTGAATATTTTTCTCTTAAAAATCAATCTTTCCTGGGAAAGATTGCATTGGGATCCTAGGGGAAATCAATATGACTAAAATCTTGAGTGAGTACCACCCTTAAGAAATAAGACTCGAGGGGAGCAGGGGAGGCAGGGAGAGGGGGCAGTCACTCACCTCTTCCTCTTTCTTCCTAGATACAAGGGAAAAAAAAAACCTACCTAGGTGGTCTTGTGGAGGGTCCCAGGAGCCTAGGTCAGAGAAGCAGGAAGGCAGAAACCAAAGATTATCGCAAACGCGGAGATCTAGAAAAATGTTACCCGTCAACAGCAACCCAGAGGTGAGAAGTTCAGACAGTGAGCAGATGACAGACAGGGAGGGAAAAGAAAGAAATGCAGACTTGTGGGAAGATGAAAGGAACAAAGGGACGAGTGGAAGATACACGGGTCAGACTCACTCACTTCAAAACCAAAGTCAAGCTACTGAGGAGCCCCTGGGACTATGGCACAAAGAAAGAAATGGCTGATCTAAAGACCTGAACTCTTGAGTTAGGCTGAACCAAAAGCTGCGTGCGCGCAAACACGCGCGTGCACACACACACATACATGTCATCATACATACCACACACATATACACACACCACACACACATACACACAGCACACATAATGCACACATACGCTACACACCACACACAATACACACATATACACACACCTCACACACACACACACACACACACGCACGCACACTACTGGACACCAGGCAATTTCCTTATCTACATATAGAAGTGTGACCTATGGTTGGAGTGATCAGTGTGGTTCTTGTGTTTCCAGATCTGCAGGAAAGAGAATCATCAAACAGTCGAACTATATGGCTGGATGTATTCTGAGGCCTTTTTCTCAGGACTGGGGCATGGGTATTTGTTTTTTTTTTTTTTTTTTTTGGTTGGGTTTGGGTACACATTAGCTTCCTAGACCCCTTTAAACTGTCCCAGAAATAGCTTAATTTCAAGTTAGTATAAGGGGGAATCCTAGGAAATGAATGATGTGGAGAGGGGAGAAGCCTGAGTAGTGTGGGATGGAGAATGGTTGTTTACCGTCACCTCGGGGAAGCTGTCTGTCCACTCAGCCTGCAGCTCCTCTCAATCCCCTCTCTGTTAGTGATAATTGATACCGCAGCTTGTAATTCTCCCTGCCTGACAACAATCTGTGTCCTTCTCTCCTCCTTGAAATTGGGATGAATTCTTATATATTTCAAGCTCCTAAGGCCAGAAGAGGGCTCCAGATCTCATTACAGATGGTTGTAAGACATTATGTGGTTACTGGGAATTGAACTCAGGACCCCTGGAAGAGCAGCCAGTGCTTTTAAACTCTGAGCCATCTCTCCAGCCCCTATTCCAAGCTCCTAAGGCCAGGCCAGGCCTGGCACACAACTGTTACTCAGAATCTTTTTGTAGAATGATTGGAGCCATACACATGCCCCCTCCCCCATCCCTTCTGCCTTATGAAATGTCTGACCTAATGAGACATATTGACTTATAAAACTTCCTGAAAGACTATAAAGCAACAGAAAATACATTGTTTTGTGCCCCCAGATCATCTTAGCCTCTGGATAGTCAATTAAAGTTTATGTGATCTGATTGTTAATATTTATCACTAAACCTTGAGAACTGTCTCTAAACTGCAGGATGACACACTAATTGGAAGACCAGAAGGGCATATAGGTGCTTCACACATGGGTAATTAATACTACTTAGCTTAACGGTTATTAATAATTTACAAGTCTTGGAATTAACACTAAGTAGAGGCTGTTAATTTAGGGCTCACAGATCCTTAGCAGGTCCAAGATGAACTCTGAGGGTGGGGTGGGACACTCAATGAATCACAAAACGATGAAGCTTACGAATGTGTACATTCTGAAAGAGAGGCGCTCATAGCTCTTATTAGCTCCTGGAGGAGAACCAGGATGGCCCCCAAAATAACGAAATACATGACGTCAAACCTTAAAGGAACCACAAAAGAAATATGCACACGATGCTGATCAAACCATTGCTCTGGGGGGGGGGGTGACGACCCGAGTGGACGCTAATGGAGGACCTTCGGGGTCTGTAGGACGCGAAGGACGTACAGCACAAAGGTCACCATGTGCTGTTTAATGGCACAACAGCTTGCTGCCACCTCACGATTTTTTTTTCTACATGAAAAGAGCTTTTTCCTCTACCAGACAATGTGTCAAAATTGCTTCTAAAATCCTAAAAGGGGCCTGTTTCTTTTTCCCCATTGGTACCTGCATTCTTGGTCATCTTCAGAGAAAAACCTGATGGATCATGGATGGCATCCCCCCTTGTAGACGTGAGGTCCCGTATCTACAAATAAGTCCTGCACAATGACAACACGTATCACCTCACCTGAACAACTGTTACTTTGCATTTTTTTAGCCAGCGCAGAGAAAGGAAGGAGCTTTAACAAAATGACACTTTGTAATTAAAGTCTAATGACCTGGTTGATTTAACGTTTAGGTTCGGAATTCGGAAATGTGTTTTCTTGCCATCTCTTACTGCTACAAGGCTACTGACAGCAAAAGCAAGAGGATAATTGCGACTGAATCCACACGCTCCGTTCAGATATCGTCTTTGAGAAGCAACCAAGAAACCCTTTAGACTGCTGGGCAGCCAGATCTAATCTCCCTGTCTAGACTAAATAAAAACATCCATAAATATAGAATTCGTGAGAGGTAATGGTGATAAGATATATGGTTTTCTGTTATTTGTTGCCTTTCAAAAACTGGGAAACAAAAGTAAGTATCTGTGCTTTAATGAAAGAAAGAAAAAAAGATTGAGTTACCACAATGTGTAATGAGATCTCATTTGTGGAAATTGCATGCATACATACATACCTGGGCATGGAATGTGTCCAGTCACACCACACACACACACACACACACACACACACACAGTCAATAATTATCATCGAGTGTTAGAATTTGGGGTTTCTCACCCTTCTTTTTTATACTGTGTGAACTTTCACAATATGTCATTTTATTAGAACAATAGCAGTATTTTTCAAGAATTGGAGAGACTATTTGGAGAAACATGAAGACAAAGCTAACACCGGGAGTCGAACATAATTCGAAAGCAAGAACCTCAGCATCAGCGTCGTGGAGGGTTCTCAGCTCTCCAGGTGCACGGAATCCTAAGACTCCCAGCAAACTCTCTGTGTGGTAGTTTAAACATATTCAAAGGGAAGCGGCAGCCGGTCTTGGATGCTCCTGACTCCGTCTAGCTCTTGAGAAGTAGTTCTGTGAAGACACAGGTTGTATACAAGAATGAAAACACAGGCAGGGCGGTGGTGGCGGTGCACGCCTTTAATCCCAGCACTTGGGAGGCAGAGGCAGGCAGATCTCTGTTGAGTTTGAGGCCAGTTTGGTCTACAAGAGCGAGTTCCAGGACAGGCTCCAAAGCTACAGAGAAACCCCATCTTGAACAAACAAACAAAAAGAATGAAAACCCAGCAGAAGAGGTTGAGGTGACTGCCTGTTATCGCCAGTGCTTGTGCCAGTCGACTCGGCACGTCGGGCACGCGATATTCCAGGAAGAGATCCAGAGCTCAGTGTCTGAAGCAGCCTAGGATTGTCCTAAGTGGACCAAGACCCACTCCCAACTTCAAGGTGAACTGCTCCACCAGGAGACTGACCCCCGCCTCAGAAAGTCTGTGTACAGTGGTGGCGTCCGCTGTGAGTGCTCTGGGCTCTTCTCAGGAATTCCCAGAGGCAGCCCCTCCCCCCCACACCCCCAGCGTGCTGCCCCAGGAATCCAAAGGACTGTGTGCTTTTCCAGGTTTGTGTGGGTCCCCCAAAGTTTCATATCACCCATTATATAAGATGGATGAGAGGCAAGTTTCTTCTTTTGCCAAGTGGGAGAAGGGCAATTATGAAAAGCACAGGAGAGAACATATATAAAGAAACTGTGTTTCAAAATTCATTAAAATAACCCATACTCATATTCACTTAGAAATACATCAATACACCTGCACGGCAAGTCATAGAATCAATCCAAATGCAGCAGACGAATGGATAAAGTGTGCATTTAATCCAGGCATGGGGAGGAATGACATGATGCCATTTCCAGAACAACAAATAGAACTGGAGACTGGCATGTTAAGTGGAATGATCCAGACCCAGAGAGGCAAGGGTTACATCTTTCCTCCCGTATGCGGAACCCAAGCACTGTGTGCATGTGCGTGCATGTGTGTGTGTGCGTGTGTGCATATGCCACACATGTATGCACTGTACATGGCATAAAAATAAAAGGAGAACTATTTGAGAGGTAGGGAAACAAGAGAGGATAATGCGGAGTGCATATGGTCAAAGTGCGTTGCATGTTTGCACGAAAATACTATCAAACTCTTTGCTTTCTACCATACACTTAGCAAAACCTTGGTTTAGAAACTCATGTCTACCCAGAAGTAAGCATAAAGCACTGCTTTTGCCTACCCCCATTAACTCATAGTATGGAGTCTGAGGCCTACCTAGCTGGTGGCCTGGCCAAGGACCTAGGTCTTCCCATGAGTAGACTGGTGAGTTTTCAATTCTCCCAAGCTCCGTTTTTGCTGTGATCTTGGATGAATTTCACTTCTTCAAGGGTAATTTCTGTTGTTCGCCCTTCCTCTGTTCCTCCACAACACTCTCCTATAAGCTCTGTGTGCCAGGGCCCTGAGGTAGACATGTTTGCACTGACCTCTCACTTCTGACTGGGTGTGTCAAATGGAAGGCCCTAGCAACATAGGAGTCGCAACCCTTCCACAGGGGTCACCTAAGACCATCAGAAAACACAGATATTTGCATTACCCTTCACAACAGTAGCAAAATAATGGTTATGAAGTAGCAACAAAAATAATTTTATTGTTTTGGGGGGGTCACCACAATATGAGGAACTGGTTTGTGTGTGTGTGTGTGTGGTTTTTCAAGACAGGATTTCTTTGTAGGTTTGGAGCCTGTTCTGGAACTAGTTCTTGTAGACCAGGCTGGCCTCAAACTCACAGAGATCCGCCTGCCTCTGCCACCCCAGTGCTGGGATTAAAGGCATGTGCCACCACCACCCAGCTGAGGAACTGTATTAAAGGTTTTCAGAGTTAGGAAGTCGAGCACCCCGGTAAACTGAGTAAAACTGGTGTACCTGTCAAGCCCTGTCTGGCTGCTGTGGGTAAATGAACCCTGTCAGCCCTGGCCTTAACGTTCAGTTGCCTTCTCCAAATTCTAGCATTTTCCCCCTTCCCCTTCAGCTGTAAGGGTGATGATGTTTTTCCAGAAGATCCCACCCAATTTATGATAGACCACAACCACAAGCAGAAATAAAATCCTCTCCTCCTCAAGTTGCTTTTTGGTCATGACTAAGTCAAGAAGAGTCAAACTAGGGTGTGAGGAGGGGGTCATATATTGTAAAAAAGAAAGAGAGAGAGAGAGATTTAGGCATTATTAGAAAAAACTTTGTATGTTTTGAGCTTTGTATTGTGACTTTCTTAGGTAGAACAGTTGGAAAACATAGCGAGTAGTTCCCAAAGATTTGCCTGATTTCACATAATGTTACTACCTTACGAACAGGTACACTGACTGAGCAGAGCAGGAGGCTTGCTTTGACTGTATGCTGTTTGTCTGTTCCTAGCGTGGAACCCAGGATCTCGCACATGCTAGGCACACACTCTTCCAGTAAGCTGCACCCCAACCCTGTTATTAACCTGGCAACTTTATCTAACTCTTAGTGTTTATCTCATAAATATCCTAGCTAGACCGAGATCCAGCAGCCATTTCTTTGCTCTCTCTTCCTACCTGCAACATCCCATAGCCTTTCTCTCCTTGACTCTTGAAAGGCACCTGTCCGACATCCTGTCTGCTCTGGAATGTGGTGTTCTCATGATAGAAGCCAATGCTCGGGGCATAAAACCCTGCACACAAATATTACACTCCAGCTAGCTAGTTCTCCCCAGAGGTTATTCTGTAACTACTTTATGCTTGTCACAGGACTGAGTGAGTAAGTGCAGGGTCCTTTGAAGAACTGGTGATTCCAGGGAAAATAGAAACTGTACCTACACGTGTGTGTGTGTGTGTGTGTGCCAGAAATAGTCTGTCTTAAGATAAGACTTGTCTAAGAGGCTGTCACCATAGGAGAAGGTCAAGCTGGGTACTTTATAAGAAAAGAGATCTATCTGGTGAGTGGGAAGCTCGAGAGTATGATGCGGGAGCCTGTCAAGGGCCTTAGTGCCACAGTGCTGTGTGACGGAAAGACAAGCCAGCTCATACGAGGGAGAGAGCATTAGGAGGCAGAATTGCTTCTCTCATGACTCTTTCGGAAAGACACTAATCCACTCAGAAGAGCTCTGCCACCCAGCACTCTGACAGTGAGGATAAGCTGGCAGCTTGTGCTGTTAGGAGACACAACAAACCATACAGTGAAAAAGAGGATGGAGAATATCTTGCATATCACCATAGAACCTTATTCTGGCGATGGATGAAGCTAGAGATAGAGACCCACATTGGAGCACTGGACTGAGCTCCCAAGGTCCAAATGAGGAGCAGAAGGAGGGAGCACATGAGCAAGGAAGTCAGGACCGTGAGGGGTGCACCCACCCACTGAGACGACGGGGCTGATCTAATGGGAGCTCACCAAGGCCAGCTGGACCAGGACTGATGGAGCATGTGATCAAACCAGACTCTCTGAACGTGGAGGACAGGGAAGGCTGACTGAGAAGCCAAGGACAATGGCACTGGGTTTTGATTCTACTCCATGTACTGGCTTTGTGGGAGCCTAGTCTGTTTGGATGCTCACCTTCCTAGACCTGGATGGAGGGGGGAGGACCTTGGACTTTCCACAGAGCAGGGAACCCTGACTGATCTTTGGACTGGAGAGGGAGAGGGAGGGGAAGGGAAATGGGAGGAGGTGGAAATTTTTAATTAAAAATAAATAAAAAGTGGGTGGAGAGAACATCTATCTATATATTTAATAGTAAGTCATTATTACGCAGTTTAATATTCTGTCTATTCAGCAGAATTACAGTAATAGGTTCTTGCCTAGGGCCTAAGAACTGTCTCATCATAGGTCCTTGGCCTTATAATGGGTTTGAGTTTGATTTTGTGAAGTGAGACAAATCCACCGAAAAAGTGTTTGGTTACGTTCCTCTGGTGATGCTCATGCCACTGTTGCTGCCGAGGCCGTGTCTTGTCAGCCCAGTGACTTTTGTAGGTCGCAGTGGTCACAGCAGATATGGCTGGCAGTTACTTTTCTTGCCTGGTAGTATACATCATAACTTCTGGCACTGTGAAAGCTAGCCAATAGGGACGACGCTTCCAGGTGAGCTCCAATTTTGTGCACTGGGCACTCTAGAACTTGACGGAAACCAAAAGCAGTATCAGTAGCCTATAATGTTTTGGGGCCTATGGAACCTCACTAGTCAATAGACCATAGGACGATAATCTTTAACTTTCTGAAGAACCTGAAGAACCATCAATTTACTTTCTACTTTTGATTGGACCAACGTTTCTAATTTTTACTAGCAAGGTGCAAGGGTTTAAATTTCTCCCTGTCCTCACTGATGCTTGTTTCCTGAGTCTCCTGTTTCTTTGATTTTGTTTTGTGTGTGTGTGTATGTGTGTGTGTGTGTATGTGTGTGTGTGTGTGTGTAAGACAGAGTGTGTTTGTCTATGTGTGCACGAATGTCTGTGCATTGTGCGACTGCGTGTGAGTGTGTATAAGATTCATTTACTTTTGCTTTGTGTGTATGAGTATTTTGCCTATATGTGCATGCAGTGCCCACAGAGGCCAGAAGAGGGCATCAGATCTCATGGAATGGTTGTAATCTGCCTTGTGAGTGCTGGGAACCAAGCTCAGATCCTCTGCTGTTAACTACTAAGCCCTCTCTCTCTAAGCCCCAAAGTAAGTGGGGATTTTGTTGTTGTTGGTGGTGGTTTGTTTTGTTTTTGTTTTTTCGCAAAAATAACTTTGGGGTTGGAAATATGGCTCAGCCCATTGAAGGCTGGGCTCAAAAGCCAAAACCAAAACAGCTGTCAGGTCTCTACAAAGAAAATACCCTGTTGCAGAATTCACCTACCCAAGACATTGTCTGCAGCAGCACCGGCCAAGAGCAAGCAATGTTAGGTGCAACTGTGTGACCTCCAAAACCGGTGATTTTGTCTGAGAGCAACAGTCTAGATTTTCCCAAGGCAGGCTAACATCTGAGCTGATTCTGGGGGCTTTCCCGGGTCATTTTCCAAGATGAGTCTTTTCCTTAGCAACAATCCCTTGGCCT